CAGCGAACCTGACCATCCAATCCCCGTTAGTCGCCTCTTACGTCAAGCAAAACGACCAATTCTAACCCGGTTGTTCACAGGTCCTCTTCATGTGCCCGTGATAGATGGGTTGACAATGGATTTAACATGCCAATTAAAATATCTATATTGTTAAACTTTTCCTAAATATCAAAAACTCCACAGTGGAACTATTAAGAGTACAACACAAGCTTAGATAAAAAATTTTACATATCTCTTGTAACTGTGTCAGATTTCATTACTAAACAATTTGCTTTAAGGACTAACTCCGCCATGTAAAACTCGGCTTATGAAACAATAGGAGGCGGTGGGGATGCCTAGTGGTTAATGCGTTTGCTCATCACGCAGAAGACCCAGGGTCGATTCCTCACATGGGTACAATGTGTGAAGCCCATTTCTGGTGTCCCCGCCTGATCTTGTTGGAATATTGCTAAAGGCGGCGTAAAACTAAACTCACTCACTTGTTTCAGTTATTCCTGTTGTATTATTTCTGTTGTTCATGTAGTGTTGTTTCTGTTGTTCATGTAGTGTTGTTTCTGTCGTTCATGTAGTGTTGTTTCTGTCGTTCATGTAGTGTCGTTTCTGTCGTTCATGAAGTGTTGTTTCTGTCGTTCATGAAGTGTTGTTTCTGTCGTTCATGTAGTGTTGTTTCTGTCGTTCATGTAGTGTCGTTTCTGTCGTTCATGAAGTGTTGTTTCTGTCGTTAATGTAGTGTAGTTTCTGTCGTTCATGTAGTGTTGTTTCTGTCGTTCATGTAGTGTTGTTTCTGTCGTTCATGAAGTGTTGTTTCTGTCGTTCATGAAGTGTTGTTTCTGTCGTTCATGTAGTGTTGTTTCTGTCGTTCATGAAGTGTTGTTTCTGTCGTTCATGTAGTGTTGTTTCTGTCGTTCATGAAGTGTTGTTTCTGTCGTTCATGAAGTGTTGTTTCTGTCGTTCATGTAGTGTTGTTTCTGTCGTTCATGTAGTGTTGTTTCTGTCGTTCATGTAGTGTTGTTTCTGTCGTTCATGTAGTGTTGTTTCTGTCGTTCATGAAGTGTTGTTTCTGTCGTTCATGTAGTGTAGTTTCTGTCGTTCATGTAGTGTTGTTTCTGTCGTTAATGTAGTGTCGTTTCTGTCGTTCATGTAGTGTTGTTTCTGTCGTTCATGAAGTGTTGTTTCTGTCGTTCATGAAGTGTTGTTTCTGTCGTTCATGTAGTGTTGTTTCTGTCGTTCATGTAGTGTTGTTTCTGTTTCTAGTCGTTCATGTAGTGTTGTTTCTGTCGTTCATGTAGTGTAGTTTCTGTCGTTCATGTAGTGTCGTTTCTGTCGTTCATGTGTTGTTTCTGTCGTTAATGTAGTGTCGTTTCTGTCGTTCATGTAGTGTTGTTTCTGTCGTTCTGTGTTGTTTCATCGTTCAGTGTTGTTTCTGTCGTTCATGTAGTGTTGTTTCTGTCGTTCATGTAGTGTTGTTTCTGTCGTTCATGTAGTGTTGTTTCTGTCGTTCATGTAGTGTTGTTTCTGTCGTTCATGTAGTGTCGTTTCTGTCGTTCATGTAGTGTTGTTTCTGTCGTTAATGTAGTGTAGTTTCTGTCGTTCATGTAGTGTTGTTTCTGTCGTTCATGTAGTGTCGTTTCTGTCGTTCATGTAGTGTTGTTTCTGTCGTTCATGTAGTGTTGTTTCTGTCGTTAATGTAGTGTCGTTTCTGTCGTTCATGTAGTGTTGTTTCTGTCGTTCATGAAGTGTTGTTTCTGTCGTTAATGTAGTGTCGTTTCTGTCGTTCATGTAGTGTTGTTTCTGTCGTTCATGAAGTGTTGTTTCTGTCGTTCATGAAGTGTTGTTTCTGTCGTTCATGTAGTGTAGTTTCTGTCGTTCATGAAGTGTTGTTTCTGTCGTTCATGTAGTGTTGTTTCTGTCGTTCATGTAGTGTTGTTTCTGTCGTTCATGAAGTGTTGTTTCTGTCGTTCATGTAGTGTTGTTTCTGTCGTTCATGTAGTGTCGTTTCTGTCGTTCATGTAGTGTTGTTTCTGTCGTTCATGTAGTGTTGTTTCTGTCGTTCATGAAGTGTTGTTTCTGTCGTTCATGTAGTGTTGTTTCTGTCGTTCATGTAGTGTTGTTTCTGTCGTTCATGTAGTGTTGTTTCTGTCGTTCATGTAGTGTTGTTTCTGTCGTTCATGTAGTGTTGTTTCTGTCGTTCATGTAGTGTTGTTTCTGTCGTTCATGTAGTGTTGTTTCTGTCGTTCATGTAGTGTTGTTTCTGTCGTTCATGTAGTGTTGTTTCTGTCGTTCGTTAAGTGTTGCTTTTGTTTATTTGGCTTTGCTATTGATTTAATTCTCGGTATACTCTTTCTGTTTCTGTTGTTCGCATCGTGATGTTGTTTTTGTTGTTCAAATAGTATTCTTCAATAAAACTTTTTTTGTATTATATACATTGTTGTTTTGCTAGTAGTACTACTGTTTATTGGGAAAAGGTTCTGATCCAAAGATTGCTGGAAGCTAAAATCAAATTCCACTGTCGTTTTACACATTTGTGAAAATATTGTCTTGGCCAGTGTTACAATTATTAATCACCCTAAGGGCCTTATCACATAACACACAGTCCAAATTTCGCTCAAATAAACCTTCAGTGAAGTAGAACACGATGCCTTTGAGCAAAGCACTTTATGTGTTATGCTGAAATTTGTCGACAAAACTATGTATTAATTCATACAATAATCTACTCTCTCGAGCCCCGATACCGACCGCGGTTAATGATGTTATTCACACAGGTAACAAAGCCACCGTCATAGCATGCTGCTTGGAAACGCTAAACTGCATATTTACTTAACGACTATTGCCTTAGTAACGTTCAGAGGCAAGACCAGATTTAACCAAATTGGCGATAACCTTGTCGTTTCTGATCCCTTCGGCGTCGCATGTTATTCAAGAGAGACGCGAATTCTGAAATGTGCGACCTGGTTTAGACGTATCTGTATATTCAGCTGTGTATTTCAGAAATAGGACGCTGCTATGTCCCACTAATTGTACCCTCACTAACACGTCCTGTGGGTGGCCCAATCGCCTCAGACGCAGCAATTCGCTATTTGTTAGGTCCTTTGGCCACGCGAAACTCATGCGATCGTTGGATCGAATCCCTGTTGATCCCGATCTTTTTAAGGTTTGTGTGAACCAAACCTGTGCTTGAACCAAACCTGTGCTAGTAGTTCCCGCCAAAGTGGGTAAACGATTAAGTGAGTTTTCTCTTACATTGCTTTCAGCAATATTCCGGCAATATCACGGCGGGAGACACCACAAACGGGCTTCACACATTGTACCCATGTGGGGAATCGAACCCGGATCTTCGGCGTGACGAGCGAACGCTTTAACCACAAGGCTACCTCACGGCCCGGTAAACGTCTAAGTCAGTGAGATTAGTTTTACACCACCTTTAGCAATATTCCAGCAATATCACGGCGGGGGACACCACAAACGGGCTTCACACATTGTACCCATGTGGGGAATCGATCCCGGATCTTCGGCGTGACGAACGAACGCTTTAACCACAAGGCTACCTCACGGCCCGGTAAATGTCTCAGACATACGTCAGTTCGGCTTATCCTGCCACATCAAGCTGACGTGCTGATATAATAGTTTTTTTCAAAGCGGCGTTAAGCCCCACTTACTCCTACCGGGTACCCGTATAGGAAAACGAATAGATATTAGGCTCTTCTGGAATTCTTTGACCCAGTCGAATTTGAATACCTGGTAATCGCTTACAAGGGCAAATGTGTACGGCTTTAGTAACAATTCTAATGTGACGACGAAGTCGCTATATATGAAATCTTGAGTGGTAGGTGAGGTGAGGTGAGGTGAGGTGAGGTGAAATGGGGTTTTACGTCGTGCTTGAGAATATTTCGCACATATGACGACGTGCATGCGTGTGTATGTGTATGTGTATGTGCGCCTGCTTGTACTAGCCCAGACTGAAGCTGGTTTTATAGTGCTAGCCCACTGAGATACCATGCCGCAGTGAAGCATGAATACCCCACTCAGACACAGTATACTGACTCCGAGCCGACCAGTCCTTGTTGTACCCATTAATGCCGAGTGTACTCGTGGTAGGGAGCTGAGTTTAAGTCCTTTTTGAACAGCTGGTCTTTTACGACCCATCTGCTAAATAGGAGAGGAATGCCTGACGCAATGCGCATTTCCTTAAATCCACAGGAAGCACGGGTATGGTGCTGAGACTCTGAATCATAAGGCGAATCTGGAAAATTCGAGCCCGCGAAACAAATTAACATTAGTCAGGTGAGAGAATTGTGAACATGAGGAAAATCTAGACTTGCTCCATTTACATATTTTGCATTGTTGAGGGTAGCAGCAGCAGCGGTAGTAGTAGTCGTAGTAGTAGTAGTCGTAGTAGTAGTAGTCGTCATCGTCATCGTAGTAGTCGTCGTCGTCGTCGTAGTAATAGTTGTAGTCGTCGTAGTCGTAGTAGTAGTAGTAGTAGTCGTCATCGTAGTAGTAGTAGTAGTCGTCATCGTCATCGTAGTAGTCGCAGTAGTAATAGTTGTAGTAGTAATAGTAGTAGTAGTAATTTTAGTCGTCGTCGTAGTAGTAGTAGTCGTAGTAGTAATAGTTGTAGTAGTCGTAGTAGTAGACGTAGTAGTAGTAGTAGTAGTAGTAGTCGTCATCGTCATCGTAGTAGTAGTAGTAGTCGTAGTAGTAATAGTTGAAGTAGTCGTAGTAGTAGAAGTCGTCATCGTTTTCGTAGTAGTAGTAGTAGCAGTCGTAGTAGTCGTCATCGTCATCTTAGTAGTCGTAGTAGTAGTCGTCGTCGTCGTCGTCGTAGTAGTAGTAGTAACAGCAGCAGCAATATTTGTTGCTGTTGTTGTTGGTGGTGGTGGTGGTGTTGTGGTTGTTGTAGGGGCGTTAAACCATAGATAGCCTCAAGGCTAAAGTGGCTTTGTACAAGTAAACCCGTTTTTGTCTCGACAAAAAAGGAAGCAAGATAACAAAAAAGAAAATAATAGGTGTCAATTCATTTTATTGTAAAAGTAAAATATCGTTGTAAAGGAAATCTGATCCAAAGCATATAACATGTAACGGTAATTGCGTATAACACGGAAATGCACAACGATGCAAGTATATATTACAGAACACATTACAAAATGCACGATTCTCTCACACAAGACGCCCATTCATCCATGGATATTTATGCATAGAAATAATCTTATTTACAAACATGACATATACAATTTTAATGACAAAAACATTGATGCGTTCAGTTCGGTTAACTTCAACTATAGAATTCACACCTGACTGAACTGTCGAAAAGGGATTCTGGACCCATAGGGTTATAGTGTTGTAGCTGTCCGTAAGTTTGGAAATTCAGCTTTTGCATTTATAGTTCGATAACACCTTACTGAGTCATCGAAAACTCGGATCCTGAACCCAACGAACCCAATGAATTATGACTTTGAACTATTGTTTCTTCGTAACTTTAGAAAGTTTCAACGGAACCATTGTAAGAGAATTGCCGGATAGGACGCGGTGAAAGCGACAAGCCTATGTAATACATTCGCCATTTCCTTTCAATGAACAATGCAATGCATCTCCTTTCCACCAGCCAAACAATAGAATCGAGCTGGCAGTGACACTGCCTATAGTTTCCAATGTCCCACTCTGTTCCTCTCAATAGGACTATATGTTCACCTCCATTCCAACAACAAAGGTATATAGTTACAACTGTCACCCCGCTTTGATCTGGTCCAAGGCTCCATGAATCACAGTTTGTTGCCACCTTTTACTTTGCGTGACCGGAATATGTACTGAGAAACAACACAGAATATTGCCCACCACGAGGAATTTCAAAACTCGATTTCTCAAAGTACGAAAAAATAACCAATCGTTTTGTTTAAAATGTGAAAACATTGTCTCTGGTTATTTGGTGTCGAAAGTTATGAGAAAAATACAGTTGAATAGTTCTCTTTATGGGCTTAGGGACCGGTCATTTATGACGAGTGATTCTGAAGTTTTTGCTGCACTAATGTACTGAACATGGCGACCTCACCTAATGCCTGTAATAATTTTGATGGACTACCCAATGTCCCTGTTTTTTATCACCGTATCCCAAAAAAGACAAAATGCAAATGGATTTCATTATTTTAAATGATTACCATTTTGTTATGGCCAAAAATATGTTGATTAATTTCAAAGACCCTTCCCCTTGAGATTGTCTTGTATTGGTGACCCTCCCGTTTCCCCCGACCCAACTTACGGAATAAATGAACGGTCCCTTATCTAACAGAAACCAAGGCTATAAACTCGTGTACAGCGAACAATAATAACCCTTTGAAGGTACAATTGAATCATTGATAGCACCAAGATATGCTCGTAGTGAGAACTGTCATCGGTTGTTGCCACCGTCCATGCATATACACAAGCCGAGGACGTTCACAAAGACGGCAGAGGTATGAAAGAAGAGGTGTCATTAATGGTAAAACGAATCGGTAATTATCACTGACAGTAATATCAATCAAAACACTTTCCTTAAAACTAATGTTAATCAATAATTATCATTGACAGTAATATCAATCAAAACACTTTCCTTAAAACTAATGTTAATCAATAATTATCATTGACAGTAATATCAGTAAAAAAATACCCTTGAGAGTAACGTTAATTAATAATTAACAGTAACAGTAACATCAATCAAAAGTTATCATTGAAAGTAGTGTTTATCAATGATTATTATTGATAGTAATACAAAAATTATTATCATTGAAAGTAATATTGATAACAAATTATCGTATCAAGTAATATTAAGAGACCGATTGAAAGATTTTAACTTCTTGTCGAAATGTAACTTCAAGTCCATATCAGCTAAGTCATTTAAACCTTATATATATCTGCTAAAGTGATCTCTAATAATGTACAAAATGTTAGGGATTTCGTCATCACAAATAATTATTTCCAAGAACAGTAGACAAGGATATTGTTAATGCTGACTGGTCATTTGGGATGAGATGAAGTCACATTGGTTCATTGTTCGTGACGTCAGAGATTGTCAACGTTACGTCATCAGATCAATAGGATGACTTCAGTGAACCTTCTCTTTCCGGTTTACATGCAATTTGTTTGTCATTTGTTTGTTAAAATCACAGTATATGCAAATTAAAATGGAATTCGTTATTATGAATGACCTGACCAGAGGCCATGGGCTAACTGCATTCACTCACTTGGGATAAAATAACGTCATTTCACTTGTACTCTCAATATTTGCACTTGATATCATAGTTGAAATGCTTGATCAGGGCACTTGAATGTCCACCAATCACAGTATACACAGTGTAAAACCAGTTACGCTATACCGCCTAACGTCCATTCGTTTTAACACACGGGATGCAAAAATGTTTCTCAGATGTAAAAGCTCCCTCGTATAACATGGCGGTCACATTCTTCCACACCAGAAGAAATAGGTCAAACAGTTTGTCCATTTCTCATCAACTGCCATTCCACAATTTCCCGAAATGCCGAGATGTCGCCGATTGGATTTCATTTTGTTGAATCAGAGTTCGTAAGTAGAGTTATCTCCCCCTACACACTCATGACGTTAATACTGGCGTTGTTGAGGATGTCATCAATCGCTATTCGACAATTTCCCGAAATCCCGAGATGTCGCCGATTGGATTTCATTTTGTTAAATCAGAGTTCGTAAGTAGAGTTATCTCCCCCTACACACTCATGACGTTAATACCGGCGTTTTTTAGGATGGCTCTAGCGACGTCAACAACAATACCGCTTGTGTATTTTACCATGTCGGCATCAAGTTCTGGGAAGTTGTCGACCCAGTGTAGAGACATGGTATCATTCTGCCAGCTGAACTGACGACCTGGTTTGTTCTGAATCATTCGAGACCTATAATCGCCCTGCCAGGTTGGGTGGCAATTGTGGTTGAGGCATTTCACTTGAAGATGGGGGTTCAGCAGCATCTGTTCAGGATTAAGTTCCAGTTCATGGTATGACAAATAGTGATCCAGGAACCAAGAGTCTTTGCCATAGAATTTTTGAAAAACACGTCGCAGACTTTTCAGATATCCGGAGTTTCTCTTCGCCATTAGCGTGCCGTGGTTTACCGACTCCGGCCAACGTCCATGCATATGCCAATCCGGGGAAGCAACTGCGCTATAACCGAAGAGCTCGTGGGGCACCTGTTGGGTCCACAGGACGTTGTGGTCGTTGTACACGCCACCGTATTTCAGAAGGATGTCCACGCGCATCGTGATGATCGCCATGGAAACGGACATCTGTTCACCTGACTCTGTTTCCGGGAACTCTCTGTAGACATAAACAAATCTGTGGTCGGAAGACAAACGTCTCCACCAAGCACCTTGAGGAGGAAGGGGTCCGTGGATGAAGACTTTCTGGAAACCGGCGACGTAGATGGAACTCAGCATGCTTAAATACCCAGTGAATTTGATGAAGGGATCTTCGAGGCATATGTAGTGAGCAATTCTTGGTATAGGCGACTTAAGGTCATAGTTCGGCTCGATTTGACGGGAGCCATACATGACGACACGTGACAACGTGGAGAACTTGTTCCGGCTCTTCCAGATGTCTTTAGGAAACAGCTCCCGGCTTACGGTCACGCAGATTATCTCCCCTTTCTTGTCCCTGTTATATTTCATTTCAGAGGCGCATGGTTTCAGGCCGCCATGTTGCTCCCTCCCTTTGGCCATAACAACTTGTAGCTCCTCTGGGGTTTTGGGTTTGTTGAAACTAAGCCTCTTACCAACCATTAATCCTTCAAGGAAATCAGAGTGCGTCCGTGCGTATGCGCCCGTGACGAGTGGCAAGCTTCGAAGATGGACGGGGAAGTCGACCAAGATGGCCTCCTCAGGAGTGTAAATACCGCCATATTTATGCAACAGATTCATTATCAGCAGAAAACGACCTGCTCCCTTTCTGTGACATGATGTATCGTTGATTTTGTGTAATAAAAGATGTCCGATTTCCGCTATGGACTGGTTGAACCATCGGTAGTATTCCTCTGAGTCCGTTGTTGGAAGTTCCTCGTAGTGAAAGTAAACTTTATCGGGTTTGATTACTCTCACTGCGCTCTTCAGCGCAAGGTAATGTTTGAATTCAAAATGGCGACTACCACACCACACGTAATGAAGCGTTGACGGAGCGAGGTCAGGCAGAAGGTCATTGCTGGGGTCATATTCAGGTGGAATGTCAAGGTCGGTTGCTTCTGGCTCTTCTTCTACCTTTTGAACTGCTTTAGGAAAGCGGTTATTGACAGTGTCGACGATGTATTCATTATCGACGATGTTGCCCCTGTTGACACGTGCCTGCATCATCTGTAACGTCGCGTCGTTGAACGCCATCACCAGTATGCACAACAGCACCGTAGTTACCCAGAATGCCGCCCGCTTTGTCTTCCGGCTCCGCGGTCGAATCCGGACACAAAATTTCATGAACTTCATCTTGGTTGTCGCTGTAACAGAAAAACGTAAATCAATATTACTAAAATAATTTGAAAAAAGACATGTTTGGCAACGCATTCCCGGAAAAAACAACAGCGTCATATTTGATACCTCTATTATGTAAGGTCTTTTCTTAAAGCGTTTTATAGGATATCTTACCCATGTTTTATCAAAATAAGCCAAATTCCGCAGTTTACGTAACAGTGCGCAATAAAGGGCGTTAAACATATCTAAGTATTGTTCAGTAACAATTCAATGTAAACTATGTACGCTCTGTATGGTTGTAAATAACCAGAAAGCTATGACGTACTAAATTTTACGTATGATCTTCATATGCCACAGTTTGTGGCCAGAAAATGAAATGATAATAATCTACAGAAATATTTTTAATGATTCAAAGAACCATGGTCCAAGGTTTGCCAGCTGCTAGTCTCTGTTAAAGTGTTTGAGTTAAGGCATTCATAGCTCGGGACGCTTCGCGGAACCAAGTCCAATTTTGATGAGAATGCCCCTCTTTAAATAGATTTAGAATCTTCGTGTTTGATTGACTGCGTTGAATATCGCATTGGCCGTTATAAACACGCTTCAATGTTTAATAATATCTCCGTCATTATTCACTGCGATCACATAACGTGTTGTTGAAGCACGCGGGTGACCCTGATGATACGTTTATAGAGAAGGGACACAATAGACGCCCTGCTTGTCGCGTCTTGAGGGTGGGTCTCGCTAAGATAGCTGACAGGAGTCCCACCCAGTATTGACGTTACTGATAGAGCTTTAGAAACTTGATGTACAATTATAACACCCGATTTCCTTCATATATCCTTCATTTAAGGCTCGGTGAAAATCGTTCAGGTGATCGTAGAGTGATTCAGATGAGTAGGAGAGTCTTTGTAGGTATTTCTATATGGAATCTCTGGCCGGTGATATGAGGTCTGGGTGAGGACGGAGAAAGGACGAGGATGTGTGTGTATGTGTGTGTGTGTGTGTGAGAGAGAGAGAGAGAGAGAGACAAGAGAGAGAGAGAGAGAGAGAGAGAGAGAGAGAAAGAGAGAGACAGAGAGAGAGAGAGAGAGAGAGAGACAGAGAGAGAGAGAGAGAGAGAGAGAGAGAGAGAGAGAGAGAGACAGAGACAGAGAGAGAGAGAGAGAGAGAGAGAGAGAGAGAGAGACAGAGAGAGAGAGAGAGGGAGAGAGAGAGAGAGAGAGAGACAGAGAGAGAGAGAGGACAGAAAGGAGGACTGGCCAGAGACAGAGGAAGAGAGGGAGACAGATAGGGGTAGAGAACGGAGAGAGAGATAGGAGAGAGAGAGGGGAGAGAGACAAGAGAGAGAGAGTGATGGAGGGAAGAACGGAGCTGGCCAGAGACACAGGAAGATACAGATAGGGACAGAGAGAACGGTCCAGGGATAGAGAGAGACAGATGAGGAGAGAGAGAAAAGAGAGAGAGAAGAGGGAGAGAGAGAGAGAGGAGGAGGGGAGAGAGGAGAGAAGGGAAAACGAGGATCAAAACACAATTTCTCACCCGAATACATAAAAACAGACATTTTTACATAAACTGAACACCAGCTAAACGGAATCATTACTGTCAAATAGATTACCATAGTAAGACAAATATCCTGAATAATGAAGAAAACTAATGTCTTACCAACTATAAACATGATGTATTCCCGAAATCCTACTCGTGTTGGGACGCGTGGCCTCTCCTACCGTGTGTAAACGCTGAATGACTTAAGCGGGTGAATGACAAGCTATCTAACAGTACACACCCGGTCCTGATTCACTGGCGCGCTATGAATGCTGGGATCGGCGTCGTCACAACCACTTGATACAAACACTGGTGCTGGCAATATTTGGTTGATATGTAAATACACTACGGAGGCAGTACGTCAGGGGCATTTGTATTGGTCTCCTGGGGCGGTGGGGTAGCCTAGTGGTTAAAACGTTGGCTCGTCACGCCGAAGACCCGGGTTCGAATCCCCACAAGGGTACAATGTGTGAAGCCCATTTCTGGTGTTCCCCGCCGTGATGTTGCTGGAATATTGCTAAAAGCGGCGTAAAACCAAATTCAGTCAGTCAGTCAGTATTGGGCTCCTCCTTTCCTTATGACTTAAACGAACTCATTTCTTTTATTCCAACGCCAGTTTAAATCTTCATATTGTTAAATTTTTCGTAGAATTAAAAACTCCACAGTGGAATTATTAAGAGCATAAAACAAGTTGAGATAAAATATTTTGTACACATTATTTTGCAACTGTGTCAGATTTCATTACTAAACAATTTGCTGTGAGGACTTCTTCCCCCATTCAAAACTCGGCTTATGAAAAAATAGGGGCGGTGGGGTATACGTAGCGCAGTGGTTAAAGCGTTCACTCGTCACGCCGAAGAACCGGGTTCGATTCCCCAAATGGGTACAATGTGTGAAGCCCATTTCTGGTGTCCCTCGACGTGATATTGCTGGAATATTGCTAAAAGCGGCGTAAAACCAAACTCACTCACTCACTCACTCATTTGGGTCCAGACATATATTTAGGGAAGTCCAGGCATGTACATGGTTGAAGTGAGGAGAAGCGCAGTTGATTACTGTCAGAGTAGTGAGTGAGTGGGTGTTAGTTGCCGACGGTAATGTGCTACTTGAAGTAGCACTTAAGATCTCCCGCGTATGATCATTATAACTCCGTCTTGATATGAACGCCATATTGATATGAACGCCACATGACTATTGTCAATCAAGACATGACAGATTGACTGTCATGTAAGAAACGAGTGTTCTCTAAATTCTTTTGATTCGTATATTCCAATCTGGGCGTGAAAAACCAGTGATCGATAGTATGAGCACGATTAACAGTCAAGTCAAACATTGTCACCGAATCTTATTTCACTCGGATAATGGTGGGTAAGGGGGTGAGCCAAGCGTCCGCTCGTCACGTCCAAGACCCGGGTTCGATTCTAAACATGGGTACAATGTGTGAAGCCGAAGTCTAGTGTCCTCCCCACTGATACTATTGGAATAGTGCTAAGCGGCGTAAAACAAAACTCATTCAGAAAAGTATGTGAAAACTGTCATTAAAATATGAAACGATAATATTGTCGAGTGTATATAAACAGTAAATCAAATATGACACTATAATATTTTCGATTGTATATAAACAGTAATTTAAATACAAAACGATAATATAGTCGACTGTATATTATCAGTAATTCAAATATATAACAACAATATGGTCGACTGTATATAACAGTAATTTAATATGAAACGATGATATAGCCGATTGTATGAAAACATTAATTTTAAATATGACACAATAATATTTCTGTTTGGAAACAGTATTTCGCGATTCAGTAACTAAAATAAAACAACACGACAAATCTATTATAAAATTTAAAAAATGTTCCCTGATTCTATTCTTTTTTATTAACGTTACGCACTGTTTAATGGGGTACACAACAGAAGCCGTGACACTATTTCTCCACGACTCAATACACGTGGGAACGAACTGTTGGCGCATATTAATTAGAAAGCATAATGGTTTCTGTGAGATATTGGGGCTTATACATGCACAGGTCAATATATTCCATTGAGACCTCAACAGGTCAAGCAAATCCGGTCTTTCATAGACACGTTGTCATGTGAAAATACCTAGCTGTGTGCGATAGATATGGATGGTCGTGAACGCTCTACAAAAGTGAGTGAGTGAGTTTAGTTTTACGCCGCACTCAGCAATAGTCCAGCCATACGGCGGCGGTCTGTAAATAATCGAGTCTGGACCAGACAATCCAGTGATCAACAGAATGAGCATCGATCTACGTTATTGGGATACGATGGCATGGGTGAACCAAGTCAGCGAGCCTGACCCGATCCCATTAGTCACCTCTTACGACAAACATGGGTAACGGAAGATCAATTCTAACCCGGATCTTCACGGGTCTAATACAAAAGTATTGAAACTGTTAATCTCTCGTGGTATTTCTTTCAACGGACGACGTTGCTGTTGGCAACAGCAGCTACCTCTTCAACTAATACTGCTACTTCTACGTCATGCTGCTTCAACGTGACAGGACTACGTTTACCCATTATAATTTAAAATATGATAATAATAATAATGGCACGACTATATTCTATGACTTCTCCTATCATCAGGGGCGGTGGAGTAGCCTAATGGTTAAAGCGTTGGCTCGTCACGCCGAAGACCCGGGTTCGATTCCCCATTTCTGGTGTCCCCCCACCATGATATTGCTGGAATATTGCTAAAAGCGGCGTAAAACCATACTCACTCACTCATTCACTCACTCACTATTGCTACTGTTGCTTTTGTTGTTGTTGCCGTTGCCGTTTATATTATGATTAGTTTGATGGACTACTTCCACAGTATTGCGACCATGTTGTGTTGTTACTACGCGTAATGACATTCCACAAACATGTGGAAAAAAACCAGCGTTTAACAACCGTCAATCGAATGACGTCTGACGTCACAGCTGCACTACACTATAATTACGTCTTTACATGTTGTGAAGCACCCGCTGTGCAAGCAGCACTCGGCTACCGGGACGCACGAAGAATTAAACTCGCTGTTGACGTGGGTATGCGCTTGAATGATTTATAAACAACAAAGGTGTTAGCACTCAGCCGTATTTCAGCTGTATGAAAACAGTCTCAAAGCATTCACAAAGCTATCGTCGCGCTACGGCCTTCGTATCTCCTATACTGTAACATAGACTTACGACAGTCGTACCTCCTATACTGTAACATAGACTGACGACCTTTGTTATTCCTATACTGTAACATAGTATTACGACCTTCGTACCTCTTATACTGTAACATAGACTTACGACAGTCGTACCTCCTATACTGTAACATAGACTTACGACAGTCGTACCTCCTATACTGTAACATAGACTTACGACAGTCGTACCTCCTATACTGTAACATAGACTTACGACCTTCGTACTTCCTATACTGTAACATAGACTTACGACAGCCGTACCTCCTATACTGTAACATAGACTTACGA